TAATGATTTTCGCTATTACAACAAACTTTTCGCCCAATCCCAACGTCGGAATTCAGCAGAAGAAGAAACCGAATGAATTACAATCAAATTTGATATTTTATTACTTATATGTACACTCAAATATACTCTTCTTATGCTTCTTGTTGAAAATATTTTTTTAAAATCAAGCTAATAACTCCAATGAGATATGCAGTATATGAAAAAACGTCAACCAAATAAACAGAAGTCACGGTATGGGAGATTTAGGTCAAGGTCTTGACAGAATTGATTCATATTCAACACTAAAGTACATTATTTAGCATATTATTCTAGTTATCGCTTGCACGGACAATCGGACAGACGAACGACCAATCATTCACTCGGATTTCAACTCGTCTCCTTATCCTGCCCATTTATATATGTAGATATAATTCGATAGCTATGTCGATTAATTATATGTCTCACAAGCAACAGTTATTCAAAAATCGATTTTTTTTCTTTTATGTACTTAAATCTCTTTAAAAAATATCTAAGAATATGTCCTATAAGTTATAGATGGAAATTCAAAATATTTCCGAAGCTATAAGGGACCGAACATTTAGCAGATATATTGGCGTTTGGGCAGAAAGTAAAAACTTTGACGCTCGATTTCTCGGTTTGTCATTTTTACGATTTTACTGAATTGGCGGGCAAGATAGACTAAACGTTGGATCAAAATGGGGCAAAATCTAGTACCTTTGGCAATAAATTATCTTCTATTTAAACTAAAAAAACTAAGAAAAGTCATGTTTGAACATCTTTTTAAACAACTTCTTCTTCTTGATTGGCGTAGTCACCGCTTACGCGATTATAGCCGAGTTAACAATAGCGCGCCAGTCGTTTCTTCTTTTCGCTACGTGGCGCCAATTAGATATTCCATTTGAAGCCAGGTCCTTCTCCACTTGGTCCTTCCAACGGAGTGGAGGTCTTCCTCTTCCTCTGCTCCCCTGGCGGGTACTGCGTCGAATACTTTCAGAGCTGGAGTGTTTTCATCCATCCGGACAACATAACCTAGCCAGCGTAGCCGCTGTCTTTTAATTCGCTGAACTACACACTACGTACAGCTCATCGTTCCATCGAATGCGATATTCGCCGTGGCCAACGCGCAAAGGACCATAAATCTTTCGCAGAACTTTTCTCTCGAAAACTCGCAAC